CCCGCCCGTAAATCGAGGGACGGGAGATGGCTTCCTCCTTGGAAACGGCGAAGGGATAATCACATATAAAGGCCTATAAATAGAGCCAAGGAAACCGAAAAGGGGGTTACGCACTATTTCATTACTCCAAGAGGGTTTGTAATTTGAGAAGATATTAGTGCATTCATAAGTGGATTAGGCAAAGAGTTCTTGCCGAACCACTATAAATCTTTGTCTCATTTACATTATTTCTCAACTTTAATCCTTTATTAAATCGCGAGTGTTATTGTGAGTGTCTTTGGAGAGTAAACAACGCGTTGTCGGAAAAACACCGTCAACAATTTACATGTAAGTTTATAAACTAACCCATAATGATATTGCTACTTGTGATTAACCACTCTTAAAATTAGATATACAAATTTATAACCACCCACATAAAAGGAGTATATCTAGAATGATACTTGTTCAATAATAATAAAATACACTATTTGATAATATTGTTAAAGTAAAGACAAGGAGTTTAAAAGTGAATATTTTATTTAGGGATAGAATTATTCTATTATCCTTTATTATTCCAAACATCTTATTTATATCGTATGTTAATAATAATCTTGAAACAATTCTCTTAGATATTAAAAATTGGACTTTTGGTTCAAGTAAAAAAAAAAAAAATGGTGTTTTGGTACATTAAGGTTATTTTTTTAGAACATAAAACATCTTTACTATCATTTTAATTAAGTTGTTCCAGAATTTTAACCATGGAATTAATTTTGAATATGTTGAAAACATTTACAAATTACAAGAAAAACATAAAAATCTAAGAGGTTGTTCTTTTGCAACGAAACTTAGAAAATGTTTGAATTCGAGTTATAATTTTATTCAAGTTCATGCTATTTTGTAAAATTTGAGTTTGAACTCGAGTTTGGGGCTAAACTCGAGTTCAAGTTTCCCCTTCAACTCGAGTTTATAAACTCGAACTCAAATTAATGAACAATATTTTTTCTATTCTTAAAAATACCATAACTTTTTTGTTTTAATTCTGATTGAGATGATTTTTTTCTATGTATTCACAACGAAAAGACGAATAAAACCCCACCTATACACCCTATTAAAATTTTTCATCACCATTGAGTTTTTATTAAAATACAATCTAAATACAAATTTAAGTTTTGACCCACCCAAACACATACTCAAATAGATTCTCAATTCAAATCATAACTCAAATGTGCACATCCAAACACAAACTCAAGTTACAACTTCAACTCAAGTTATAACTCAAACTTAACTCAAGATCATCACTCAAGTCACCCTCACTTAAAAATGTAAAAGAACAACCCCTAAAAGAACTCAACAAATCCAACCCATAGGGCTTGTTCTTTTGCACCTAAACTCATAAAAAGTTTGAACTCAAGTTTTATTATAGTTCATGTTCTTTTGTAAAATTTGAGTTTAAACTTGAGTTTTAACTTGAGTTTGGGTCTAAAATCTGAGTTCAAGTTTTCGTTTCAACTCAAGTTCCTAAACTCAAACACAAGTTAATGAACAATATTTTTTCTATTCTTAACAACGCCATAATTTTTTCGTTTTAATTTCGATTGAGATGATTTCTTTCTATGCGTTCACAACGAAAAGACGAATAAAACTCCACCCATATACCATATTAAAATTTTCCATCAGCAGAGTTTTTATTAAAATACTATATAAATACAAATTCAAGTTTTGATCCACTCAAATATAAACTTAAAAAGATTCTCATATCAAATCATAACGCAAATGTACACAACTAAACAAAAACTCAAATTATAATTTCAACTCAAATTATAACTTAATTTAACTCAAACTCTATACTTAAGTCATCATAACTCAAAAATACTCGTCGAGTTTTCTCTCCACCCATCACCCCTCCATTTTCTCCCCTTGCTTGTGAACCCAAACGATCCTGGTGAAGTTCCATCCTTCTTCAGCTCTGGCGAGGCTTTCTAATTTGGACTCTGATTGAACGATTTGGCATTCTCGGATCTCCCCTCCTCTACAAATTTAATTTTTAATACCCTTCCTCTGCCCATATTCACTGCCTTCTTCTCACTCCCTATTTGAGTCCCCCCCTACAAATCTGATTTGTCAGTTTTGATTGGTTTTTCATACTATAAATAGAGAGAGAGAATGGCCAACCCCTTTCCCTGGCCCATCGTCGCTGCCCCACAACTCACCCTTAGGGCCAATCCATATCATGGCAAACACCCCATGCCCACACCCATCCATTGTCACTCCACATGCACAATGCCCAACCCCGTTACTCATAATCTTCGAAGTACCTATTGTGATTTTCTAGTGTTCTCATTGTTACAAGCCATGGATTCCGCGATTCTTGTGAATTAAGAGATTGTTTGGTTGGGGGATTCGTCCCCTAATTTAAATCATGATTCGTGGTTCGTTACAGTATTTTCTCTCATAAAAAATACACATAAATCGAAAATAATTCTAATCACATGATTTTAATCCATGAACCAAACGTCTCCTAATTTTTGAAATTATTTTAATTAGGTTATGATTGTGGGGAAAAAGCAAAAATGACGATCGAGTTCATTTTACTACAACAAAATGTTGAGCTCCATAGAGAAGCGGGTCTCGCGATTATTTGTAGACGCAGGCTCGCAACGGAGGTTGAGAATGTTAGAGATATTGTAATATGTCTCGATTAAGATCACAAGTTGTTTGAATATTAAAACATAAAAACTCGTGTAAAATGGACTTCAAAAAGTTGCAGCAGATGATTCGGCCAAACCGGCTGCAGCCGAAATGTTTGCATGTCTCGGGTCCGTTTACAGCTGCAGAGGGAAAACATCCGCTGCAGCGACAATTATGCAGAAAATAATGTTTTCATGAGTTTATGTGATCTAAAACGTTTCGAACCATTACATCCATTGGTGATATGCTTTCATACATATTTGAACACCAATTAGCAATAGATATAACAATTGTAATATGTGTATTAATCTATGAAAAGATACCTTACATTGAAAAGGTGCCTTTATGTGAATGGTTGTAATGTTTAAAGAGGATGCATTCATTCATGAAATGACACCTCTGTCTTTATTAATTCTCTAAAAAATTTACAGACTTGATTAATGTTCTGGAACTCAATATTATTGCTAGATATTGTGTTCAAGTGTTTGTTGTATCTTGGGGTAATTTGCCATTAAAACTCATCAGCAAACTTTGAGAAGTGAGGGCAAATAAAACCTTAAAGAAAAGTATTCCTATGCGCCTCAAACCCTCACTTGTTTCTGCATTCTTTTCACCCTCTACACTCAAATTCTCTACCAGAGAACGATAATGGTGACCGCACCGGGGAAGGGGTGGGTGAGTGGCGATGGGACGTCGGGCGGAAGGGGAGGATATTCTTTTGAACTTTTGAAAAATGATTTTAAAATCTTTCTGGAATTTAAAATTCTAAATAATTTTAGACTAACTAATTAGAATGGCATAAATAACATTTTTTAACAGGTAAACATAAAAGGGTTGGTGGGTTGATTTTAAATTTAACTCATCAAATCAATCGAAAGTTTAAATAAACCCACCTAATTAAAAGTAAAATTGTAGTAAATAGGCCTACATTTAAAACTTATGGAAGTAAATTGAGAATTTAATAATGCATAGAAATTAATAGGCCATTTTATGTTTTTCATTTTTCATTTTTCAATTTTACCCTTTTCTTGCTATTTTCCCTTTCCTTTGATAAATCTAAATATATCCAGGATTTATCAAGCTATAACCATTTGAAAAAACAATACAAATTCTAATAATAAATTTTAGATATACTGGGTAAATCTAAGTTAGTATTATTTTTTCAAGAACCGTATAAATTTTAATGGTAAATCCATGTTTTATCAAGTTAGAATCACTTGAAAAAGAATAGTACAAATTCTAATATACACTTAGTAAATTCAGGATTTACCAAGTTAGCATCACTTTTTAAGAACCGTGCAAACTCTAATGGTAAATTCTGAATATACACGGTGAATCTAAGATTTACCAAGTTAGAATTACTAAAAAAAGATCACTACAAATTGTAATAAGAAAGCATGGATATACTTGATAAATCTAATATTTATCAAATTAGCATCACATTTTGAAGAACCGTGCAAAGTCTAATGGTAAATCTTAGATATATACGGGAAATTTATGATTTACCAAGGTAGAATCACTTGAAAAAGAATAGTACAAATTTTAATAGTAAATCCTGAATATACTTGATAAATCTAGGATTTACCAACTTAGCACAACTTTTTCAAGAACCATGCAAACTCTAATGTTAAATCTTAGAAATACACAGTAAATTTAAGATTTTACCAAGCTAGAATCACTTGAAAAAGAACGATACAAATTCTAATAGTAATCCTGGATATACTTGGTCACTTTTTGAAGAGCCATACAAACTTTAATGGGAAATTTTGATATACATAATTCAGAATTTACTAAGTTAGAATCACTTGAAAAAGAACAGCACAAATTGTAACAGTAAATCTTAGATTTACCATGTTAGAATCACTTGAAATAGAACCATATGAATTTTAATGGCAAATCATTTATATACTTGGTAAATTCAAAATTTACCAAGTTAGCATTACTTTTTCAAGAAACGTACAAACACTAATGGCAAATCAAGAATTTAATTTATTTCGTAAATAATGAAATTACTTAGTAAATCACGCATTTATACGCTGCAATAACCCAAAAATACTTCATTTACCAGATAAATCACATTTATTTTTTATATTATAATTGAAGCATTTACTTAATAAATGCGTTAATTACCGTGCTTTTAATTGGTAATTAACAAAATGGCCCATACTTACAATTCAAAAAAAAAAAGAAAAGAAAAAGTGGTACAAAGTAGCGAAAAACGTCAGATTCATCATTCCCGTGCGCCGTCAAGTAACAAAACAGCGGTAGGTTTAACCCCGCTCTTAAACCTCTTTGTACTAGTTCTTACTTTCATTCATAAACCCTCACTTGGACTCTGTTCCTCGTCCTTAGGGCTTTGCTGATTTTTCAGGAGGATCTATTTTTGCTGCTATTTCTTTGCGTGAATTGAATCGAAAAGATTCGGAAATGAATAATCTGAAGCTCTTCTCGGAGGTCTCGCAGTACGTCCATTTGCAGTCCAAGGATGAGGTTCTGACATTTTCAGCTCTCGATGTCGAACGAAATCGCTTGTTCTTGGCTTCCTCTGCAAATTTCGTTTACACCGCTCATCTTTCTTCCTTCCAGGTTAGTTAGATTCTCACTTGTTTCGTCCATAATTCTACGTACATCAATTTGCATTTATATATATATATTTATATAGATGGTATCTCAATTTGCATATATGTATATATATGTATGTATTCATATATATATATATGTATACAAGTATGTATAGTATCTATATTGTATTTCGAATGTGGAAAAAAAAAAAACTTGAGGAGTATCTGGGATAGAAGAGGAGGTGCCTACAGCAAGGCAGAGTTTAGTGAGTAATTTTAATCGAGGGTAATTTGCATTAGTGTATTATGAACTTCTCGTTATTTGCAAGTTGGATCCTAAAGTTTTAAGTTTGGCATTTAGGAGTCTAATTTGATAATTCTAGAGTAGTCAGTGCTGTCCAATCAATAATGCTCGTCTGGACAAGCAGGGTGCTGAATGTCAAAATTGAAAACTTTAGGTCCAATTTGCTAACCAATGAAAAGTTTTGGGGTGCATTTGTGTAAATTTTGGAGCATTTCTGTCCATTAATTTTATCAATTGTACAAAAGTTGCAATGGTTTTCAAATTCAGGGTCTCATATGCCTAAATAAGAGTCCGTTTGGTTCATGGATTAAGAACCATGAGATTAGAACCATTTTTTATTTACGTGTGTTTTTTGTGAGAGAAAATACTATAACGAACCATGAACCATGATTCGAATCAGAGAACGAATCCTCCAACCAAACGGGCTCTAAAAGTTTCAGATTCAAATTGCCAAACACCCATGAGTTTACTTCAGGGTGCACCAGTGCAAAAAACCCTTCTATTAACACGTCATTGAATAAGTTACATTTGTGAAATACCTTATGGGTTAAGTTTTGATTGTTATGTGCTTTGTGGGAGCTGGAAAGTGTTGTTAACTTCATTTTAAGCGCATAGTTTGTAAAATTTATGTTTTGGATTTCATTAGCTTGCATTCTCTTAACATAAAGTAAATGGTTTTTCATGTGCTAGAATGAAGGAGCTTGGAGGAGAACCTCGTTATTGGCTGAAGTTGATTATATTGATTTGGAGGTTTGGGACTACATTGTGTCCTTTGATTATGTCATGGAGAAAGAGGCGTTGCTGTTGGGAACCCACAGTGGGCTAATGTTGTTGCATAATGTGGATGGTAAAATAACAAAAGTTGTTGGTCAAGTGGAGGGTGGTGTGAGGTGCATCTCACCCAGTCCAGATGGAGATTTGCTTTGCATAGTTACTGGTTTTGAGCAGATGCTAGTAATGACTCATGATTGGGACTTGTTGTACGAGACTTCACTAAGCGATCTTCCTGATGGTGTTGACGTACGTAAGGACCTTTTTCCTCTATTCTTGGATTTTTGCATAACTTATGTTCCTGACCATTTCTTTTTTTTTTTTTTTTTGAAAAGAAACGAAGAAATTTATCAAATATAATAAAAAGTAAAAGAAACTGGGAGCAGGGAGGAAGAGTTATCCTCCACGACCAGAACAAAAGAAGAGACAAGCAAAACAAACCAAACCAAAAACAAAGTCAGGCCGGAGAACTGAAAATGTAGGGCAGGGCTATACAAAAGGAGCCCAACATCTTACAAGTTCTGAAAACAAAGGCCTTCCAAATTCTTTATCCCGATAAACCCACAACGATACCCAATACTTGATTTTGTCCCATAGTATAGATTCTTCTTCCCCTTTGTCCTAAAAAATTCTATTATTCCTTTCCAACCATATACCCCAGAAAACTGCTAAAATTGAAGCCCTCCATAAAATCAAACCTCTCTGACGGAGGAGAGAGAATCAACATATTACTACAACTTCCAGGCAAAACCCAATAAAACCTATATTCCTTCAAAAAGTAAGTGATCATCCGGGAAAAAGGGCAATGAAGGAAGTATGGTCTGCCGTCTCCCCATCTTTCATGCACAAGTAACACCAACCCGGGGATAAAGAAAGAAAAGGACTCCGACGTTGCATTGGATCGTGTGTATTTAGTTTGTTAAGAGCAACTAGCCAACATAAGACTTGGACCTTCTTCGGAACATGAGATTTCCAAATATTATCATGGAAAATGAACTGCAGAGATGAACTATTGCATGTCAGCGAGGAGAACATAGATCTAACTGAAAACATACCGTTGTGATCAGGTACCCAATCCCTCCTATCTACCAATGCACCATGCAACCTGACCCTTTCCAATGTTGCAGTCAACACTGAAAATTCCCTTGCTTCCCTATCCGTTAAATTTCTTGAGAATCTAAAGTCCTGCAGTCCGACCGTTCATTCTGTGAGATCATTTTCCAACACGAGATTAGAGATTTTCAAATTGTGACTTGAGGAAATTCTATAAAGCAGGGAATCTTAAACACAAAGGCCCTTCTTCACTCCACGAGTCCTCCCAAAATCTAATGGTCTCACCCGTCTCAAGTTACCGATGCCCAATCCTCTCTGTTCTTTTGGTTTGCAAACCTGCTTCCAAGCAACTAAACGAGTTGAAATGTCCTCCGAGAATCCCTCCCATAGGAAATCCCTCATAAGTTTCTTACTCGTTTCAGCTACTCCAGTGGGGATTCTGAATACCGACATATAGTAAATTGGCAGCGACGCTAAAACGGATTGAATAAGCGTTAGTCTGCCCCCCTTTCGAAAGAAATGCTTTCTTCCATCCATCCAACCTCTTCGCAACCCTCGTAATCACCGGTTCCCAGAAAACTGTTTGCAAAGGATTTCCACCTAAGGGCAATCCCAAATACTTAACCGGCCAAGAACCAATTGAGCAACCAACAACACTAGCCAATCTGGACAGCCTATTTTCCTCCAAATTTATCCCCAAAATAATGCTCTTTTCCAAGTTGATTTTCAAACCTGAGATTAAACAAAAAATCTCCTAAATGGATGATAAATTCAACAAGCTTTCCTCCACCTCCAGTAGGCTGAAAAATAACGTGTCATCAGTGAATTGTAGCTGGCTAATTCTGACGTTCAACCTCCCCACATTAAATGGACTAAAGAGAGAAGCTTCAACAGCCCGATCAACCAACCTACTCAGCACGTTTGTCGTGGGAGTGAACAAATAAGGGGAAAGCGGATCTCCCTAATGTAACCCTCTAGAAGCCGAGAATTTGCCTCTCGGCCTACCTGACAAAACCTTCAAAATGATTTTATATAAGCTTGAGACCAAACTAATCGGTCTGAAATATTTAAGCTTACAGGAATTGGTCTTCTTGGGGATTAAACAAATGTATGTTTCGTTGGTGATGTTATTAATAATTCCTGTTCTCGAAAATTCTTCAAACACCTTCAACAGATTGCCCTTTAGAAACTGTCAACATTCTTGAAAGAAAGAGAGGGTGAAACCATCTGGGCCAGGGGCCTTGTTTCCGTCACAACTAAATACCACTCTTTTGATCTCTCCCTCCTCAAATGGTTTTTCCAACTCCTCAGCAGCCCTTCTAGAAATCGGGTTCCACTCCAAACCTTCAATTCCGTTAAAAGCTCCTCCTGATGACTCATATAATTTCTTATAGAATTCGACTATTATCTTCGAGCATTTCTCCTCATCTTCTAACACTATTCCATCATCGGACTCCAATTTGGAAATAGAGTTCCTTGTTCTCCTCTCGCTCAGCAACCGATGGAAAAGTTTAGTATAAGCATCTCCTTCTCTAGCCCATGTAGACTTACATCTCAACTTCAATGCCCTATCTTCCTTCTCAATTAAGCTGAAAAGTCTGTTTTAATAATCTCCTCTCCTCTTGCAAATTGGGGGATTACTCGAGCCGCCTCTGCCGACTCAAGAATCCATTTTTTCACCTTGTCCTTCATCAATTTCACCTTCCTCATTACTCTGTAACCTTCCCAGCCACTAACCTCTGCCTCCTCCCCCCATATCTTCAATTTTCTTATCAAATCTTTATTCTCAAGCCAAATATTGTCAAATCTGAACGGGGAAGGCCCCCATTTAGGCGGTTTCATGTGAAATAAGATGGGGCAGTGATCTGAACTAGCCCGAACTATTGCCTCTTGACGACCAAATGGAAAACAATTCATCCACCCTTCAGAAAGTAAGAACTGGTCCAGCCTACAACAAATAGGCGAGTCTCTGAAATTAGACCACTTTGCGTTGTGGAGAGACGGGTCTAATAAACACATATCTTTAATAAGCTCATAAAAAATCTTCCTGCTCCTTGTCAAATTGCTGCTGCCACTCTTTTCCAATAAAAATCGAGTGACGTTGAAATCTCCCCCAACACACCAACTTTGCCCACATAAACTCCAAAGCTTGCTAACTCGTCCCAAAACAAACCCCTTTTATTGTAGTGATTCGGGCCATACACACCCAAAAGCCACCAAAAATCCCCTTCCTCAACCTTTATTGTGACCGAGAAGTCTCCCAAAAAACTTTTTACTATAATTCTTCTAACGTCCCATACTACTAAAATCCCTCCCGATCTGCCTACAACCGCCAACATTACCCACTCCTTGAATCTGGATTGCCAAATGCTTCCCACAAACTTTCTATCAACCTCATTCCTTTTAACCTCTTGAAGAATTAAAATATCCGGACCTTCTTTGCACACAACCTCCTGAACTCCCCTTCTTTTTGATGGGGAGTTTCCTCCTCTAATGTTCCACGACATAATCTTCATTTATGACCTTTTGCTGCCCCACTGATGTACTTATCGTACTGAATGTTGAATTCCAAATTCTTCAACTCCCTTTCTTGGCCCTTTCTTCTTGCTGCCTTTGATGTACCCTCCACATTATCATCTATTGCCGAAACTGAAGCGCCGATCTAATTTTACTCCATTCCACTTCCTTACCCCCAATTATCACTTTGTTGCCCTGACTCAAACATGCAAGCTGCTTGTTATCTTCCTTCTCTTTTGGATCTTCCCCCTGCGACTCAGCATTCAACAACCCTTCTTTTAGGTGCTCCTCCATGCTCTCCTCCGCCTCCTGTGGAGCCAAAGATGCCAAAGGGGAAACAACCAACACATTTCGACTTAGAACCTGCTCCTTGCGAAACCCGAGGAGGTTATTTCCTTCTGAAATCTCATCAGCCACTGAGAATCTCACTTCCTCGAGTCCCACAAAACCATCCTCACCTTCCAAAGCCTCGTTCTCCTCTATAGAGCAAAAAGAGGATACCGAGCGACTGCAAGAACTGATCTCTTCCTCTGAATTGCTCCCATCGAATTGATGATTGTCGAAATCCCCTTTTGAATCTGCCTGCCCTTCTATTATGAATTCCACTTCTCTATTTTCTTTGAAGCTGGTTTGAACTTCTTCATCTTTTTTGGTCTTCCTCTATTTTCAGTATGGCTTAATTCTCTTGCCTTGACAACAAACTTCCAACACATGTGGCGTACGACCTTCCTTCAATCCTCTAATCTTGATTTTTGTGAACAGAAGGAATGAATGATCCAATGTCTCTTTGACGACCTCCTACAGTCCTCCGCAAGCCTCGCCAATGACCTTGAATGCGTGAATATTCCACAGGTTCCGAGGCAGTCCTTCTATCCCAATCCAACTGTTCCTTGCTTTTAATCTTGATGTGATCCCAATGAGAATAGATTGACCATGGCTCCATTCTCGCAATTGTATTTCTTCTGTAAAACAGAGTTTGTTCAGTCAACAATGAGATCCTCCCTGCTTCATTCCTGCACCAAACAACTGCTCTATCTGCTGCCATAGGAACCACCTCCACATACTGCATCAGCCTACCTCCAATCAAACCATTGATTACCTTTCAGTCTGTATCCACACTTCTACTTATAACTACCACTGCCGTTTTCCAAGATTTTACCACTTCTACCTTCATTCCTTCGGCAGGGCAGCCCTTATTCAATCTTACTCCCGCCTTTTCATTTTTCTGAAAGCTGCTTTGGTTGAAAAAGTTCTGAAGACAACCTCTAAATCTCTCCCATCCTTGAAAAGCATATTCTCCTGGAATGACTTTTCCTATCCCTGCGTTCCTTATCTTAGAAATCTTCATGAAGCTCCCTCCTATATTCTTGCTGCATTCCAATATCAATCTATAATTTGACCTTCTGTAGGCTCTCCTAAAACCTCCGTCCTTACCTTTGATCAATGCTTCCTTGATTTCCGTACACAGCCATGTTGCACACCCCAAATCCACGTGTATTGAGAAGCTTTGAACTCAGTTTCTCTTTGTGATCTCGATCGCACTTCCTGTATAATCTAATCTGAAAATGAAGACTTTATGTTTAGTTCTAAAATCCCGATTGAAATGTTTATACCTCGTTATGTTAAGATATAAACATCTACTGAAGAGGACTGAATACTTAGACTTGGACCGTTTGAAATTCTAGAGTCAATTGCATTTTAACTTTCCTAGAGTCATTCTTTGTACTTTTTTGCTTTTTCGTTTATGTTCCTGACCATTTCATGCTCCCATTTCATGCTCCCATTTCATGCTCCCATTTCATGCTCTGGAAGTAAGGAAAGTCTAGGCATTTTTCTTTATATTCTTATTATACAAGAAACCGGTACATAAATGGAAGTTTGGGCCAATATTCGATCGTAACCGGGTGTCTGTTATCATTTTTTCTTGAAATATTATCTAAGGACACGCTGTTTAGAAGGGATTAAAATTGGTTGCATTTATTTGATTGAGCTGGGCCACCTCATATGGGAGGTGTTATACTATTACTTCTGGTGTCATCTTGTAGTACAGATTATGGTTGTAACTTATAACATGGTACAGTGACATTACTTGAAGCAAATGGGGAATTTTTGAATCCTTAGCAGAAGACTATTGACTTCACAGCACGTATGGTGTCTTCAGCGGAATCAGTTATTAACAAAAGAATTACTTTTTAATTCTGAATTAGGATCTTAGAGCTTAAACAGGGAAATTGTTAGGAACCTAGCTCAGAAAATCAGCCAAACACCAATTCCACACTCACACACACACCAGAAACAACAAGAAAATGAGAGTAATCGGAGGAAATTTTATTAATCCAATCAGCCAAGAACACCAAATTACACTGAAATATATAGGATAGATTGGAGATTTCGAGCTCTCCGGCACTACCAGCCATTCCGGCAACACACCCAACACTCGGAAGATGAAAATACTCACTGCCTAAACCTACTGCCCTTCCCCCATTCAAATTACTCCCAGATTAGCCCCCTTGCCACGTCAGCCCATCCTAGCCACTTTCAATATTTTCCCTTAGCCCCCTAACTCTGTGTTTTCTACCCGTTTTGCCCTTCCTAGTGTAAACTTGCTTCAGTAGGGGTCTAACAGAAAATAAATTATTAACTTATCTAACCTATATGGCTTTTTTGTTTTTTGTTTTTTTATTATTTTTCATTTTTCATTTTTTTAAGTCTTTGAACTGCAACTGCTTCAGAGCAAGTGATAATTGTGTTAATATCTTAGCTTTCAAAAATTGTGCTTCTGTAATTGACCGATGACCCTTTTCCTTTGCTGAGAAGGCTCTTCCACCTGTTTTGATAGATCTGGCTATCCCGACTTGATTATGGTCGCAGGTGAGCCAAAATATTCTGGATACCATTTCAGGAGCCCCATTTCTTGGCGTGGTGATGGGAAATATTTTGCAACACTAAGTAATGAGTCAGATTCCTCTTCCTTGCTTAAGAGGATTAAAGTTTGGGAGCGAGATTCAGGGTTGCTGCACGCTGCTTCAGAACCAAAGCTATTCATGGGACCAGTTTTGGAATGGATGCCCAGTGGAGCAAAAATTGCAGCTGTTTATGACAGAAAAGCAGAAAATGAGTGTCCATCAATAGTCTTCTGTGAGAGGAATGGGTTAGAAAGAAGCTTGTTTAGCATTAATGAGCAAATGGATGCGACAATAAAAATTCTCAAGTGGAATTGTAGTTCGGATCTTCTTGCAGCTGTAGTCAGATGTGGAGATTACGATTCTTTAAAGATCTGGTTTTTCAGTAACAATCATTGGTATTTAAAACAGGAAATAAGATACTTAAGGCAGGATGAAGTGAGTTTCATTTGGGATCCGGTGAAACCAATGGAGCTGATTTGTTGGACGCATGGTGGCCAAGTCACTCTGTTTAATTTCATTTGGAACACGGCTGTCATGGATAACTCAACTGCGTTGGTCATTGACGACTCCAAAATACTTGTAACCCCACTCTCTTTATCCCTAATACCACCTCCTATGTATTTATTCGACCTTAAATTTCCCAGTGCTGTTCGAGACATGCAGTTGTATTCGAGGGATTCTACGAATTGTTTGGCTGCTTTTCTCTCTAATGGATGTTTGTGTGTTGTAGAGCTTCCTCCAATTGAATCTTGGGAAGAGCTGGAAGGCAAGGAATTCAATGTTGAAGCTTCTGCGTCAAATATGCCACTTGGGTCATTTATACATTATACATGGTTGGACTCGCACAAGATCCTTGCAGTTTCTCACTATGGGTTCAACCATAGTAACTTGTCCCACACTTCTTTGAGTGAGGATCGGTTTCTTGGTTATCGTTTGCAGGAAATTGAGCTCGTTTGTTCTAAGGACCACATTGCAGGTGCATTGACTTGCTCAGGCTGGCATGCAAATGTGTCCAGTCAAACTGCTCTAGAGGATCTGATTATTGGTATTGCTGCCAATCATGCAACAAAGTCTTCAGCGTTTCTTCAGTTTTATGGTGGAAAGATCTCTGAGCATATACCAAAGCTGGGCATCTCCAGGGGTTCCCTGAAACATGATGAGCGGAGTTTCTCATCGTCTTGCCCTTGGATGAGTGTGGTTCCAGTTGGAAACAATGGACTGTTGATTTTCGGACTTGATGACATTGGTAGGCTGCATGTTAGTGGGAAGATATTATGCTACAACTGCAGCAGTTTCTCGTTTTACTCAAATTTGGCTGACCAAGTAATCACACATTTAACTCTTGCAACTAAACAGGATCTGCTTTTCATTGTTGACATAAGCGATATATTGCATGGAGAATTAGAAACAAAATACTCAGGTTTTGTCCATGTTGTTAATAAAAGGAGAGAAGAAGATAATATAAACTATGTGAATATATGGGAGAGAGGTGCCAAAATTGCCGGTGTCCTCCATGGAGACGAAGCTGCTGTCATATTACAAATTACTCGGGGAAACCTAGAATGTATTTACCCAAGAAAGTTGGTCCTGTCATCCATTTGCAATGCATTGGTGCAGCAGCGGTTTAGAGATGCATTGCTCATGCTGAGGCGGCACAGAATAGATTTTAATGTCATTGTTGATCATTGTGGCTGGCAGCTATTTCTCCAATCAGCTTCGGAGTTTGTCAGGCAGGTTAAGAGTTTGAATTACATAACTGAGTTTGTTTGTGCCATAAAGAATGAAAATATAATGGAAACATTATATAAAAAATTTAACTGTCTGCCTTTCTTGAAAGAAGCAAGAGATGTGCAAGCTAGATGTTCCGTTGGTTCTGATGCTACTGATAAGGTTTCCTCCATCTTGCGGGCCATAAGGAAGGCTCTTGAGGAGCAGTTACCTGAGAGTCCTTCGAGGGAGCTTTGTATTTTGACAACCCTTGCTCGAAGTGACCCCCCTGCACTTGAAGAAGCATTGGAGAGAGTAAAAGTCATCCGCGAAATGGAATTATTAGGTGCTGATGACCCAAGGAGAACGTCTTACCCCTCTGCTGAAGAAGCCTTGAAGCATCTCTTGTGGTTGTCTGAGTCTGAGGCAGTTTTTCAAGCTGCTTTAGGCCTTTATGATTTGAACCTTGCAGCTATCGTGGCACTGAACTCTCAGCGAGACCCTAAAGAGTTTCTTCCTTTTCTTCAAGAACTGGAACGTTTGCCACTTGATTTGATGCGTTACAATATTGACCTTAAGCTCTGTAGGTTTGAGAAAGCTCTCAAGGACATTTTTTCCGCAGGGGATGATTATTATGCAGATTGTATGAACCTAATGAAGCAAAATCCTCAACTCTTTCCCTTGGGACTTCAACTGATAACTGATCATGCGAAGAAGATGCAAATCCTTGAGGCTTGGGGGGATCATCTTAGTGATGAAAAACATTTTGAGGATGCTGCTGCAACCTATCTGTGCACTTCCAGTTTAGGAAAGGCGTTGAAGTCATATCGAGCTTGTGGTAGTTGGGGTGGAGTCCTTACAGTTGCGGGGCTGCTTAAACTGGGGAAAGAAGAGATAACATTATTGGCTCACGAGCTCTGTGAAGAACTTCAAGCTCTTGGTAAACCTGGGGACGCTGCCAAAATTGTCTTGGAGTATTGCGGAGATGTCGACAATGGAATTAGTTTGTTAATCACTGCAAGAGAGTGGGAGGAGGCTTTGAGGGTTGCTTTAATGCACAATAAACAGGATTTGATCTCAGAAGTGAAAAACTCATCCTTGGACTGTGCGAGCTTGCTTGTCAGTGAATATGAGGAAAGTTTGGAGAAAGTAGGAAAGTACTTGGCTCGATACTTAGCTGTACGACAAAGGAGATTACTTCTTGCGGCAAAGATCCAGTCAGAGGAACAACCGATGAGTGATCTAGAGGATGATGCTGCTTCAGAAACTAGCAGTAACTTAAGTGGAATGAGTGCATATACTACGGGGTATGTCTTTGTATTTAAGTCACACTGCTACACCTTTGGTGTGTGTTTTTCTTCGTTATGATATAAATCAACGTGCAATTGTGCATAGCCCTATTGCCTTCGTGGAATCTGGAGATATCTTTTCACTCATGTTTTCTTGGCTCATTCCATCTTTTCCCGTGTTCTTGCCTGTTCATATTTCTGCTACCATGTCCACTATGAATCTTCCTTGAAATTGGTGGTCTGAACGTTAATGCTACTTCTAATTATCGAGTGGTTGCCAAATTTGATCCACAGGACAAGGACCAGCCGTGTCACTTCCATCAGCTCAAGTGCAGCTAGCAAGGCTAGAGACACCAGGTGTCAGAGGAAGAGAGGAAAAATTCGTCCTGGCAGGTTTCTTTTTCTTTTTTTTTTCTTTTTTTTTTTTTTGGTGTGTGCGCGCACGTTTAAATTGGGGATTTGAGTATATTTCTTTTCCCTTTTCCATTGTAACATAACTTGCTACTTGGCATTGTAGTGCTGGTGAGGAGATGGCTTTGGTGGAGCATTTGAAAGGCATGTCGCCAACAGATAGTGCGAAACGTGAGTTAAAATCATTGTTGCTTGCTCTTGTGATGTTGGGAGAGGTGGAAACTGCAAGAAAGCTGCAACGTGCTGGAGAGAACTTTCAACTGGCTCAGATGGCAGCAGTGAAACTAGCTGAAGATACGGTGCCTAACAATATAATGGACGAGAAGGCGCATACTATGGAGCATTACACACAAAAGATGAGAAGCGAGGTGCAAAGTTCTGAAGCTTTCGTTTGGCGTTGCAAAGTGTTTCCTCCACCTTAATAGGTAAACAAATTTGTACTGGACTATTCTTCAGTTTAGCTTGATTTGGGTTGGATGTCCTTCATTTCTGTTTCATTTAATGCACATAAGCTGTGCAACTATGCATTATTGTCTGTCTCCGCAGCTAACATTCAAAATATCTAATTTAGCTTGTTAGCAAATAGTACAATCATTGAAGCTTCGAAATTCGATTTTCGCTGCCTTGATGTCTTCCACTATTTTCTTAATCAAACATTTACAGGAGTCTTCATCTCTGCATCATGCATTATAAATAACTGTATGACTTTCACTTTTTTGGTTTTTCTCGAACTCTTGGCAGATTAGTTTTGCATTCTACTCTTTCTCTCTCTCTCTCTCTAAATGAAATGAAATGAAAATGGCCCCTTGCTGTATAAATACCTATTTAATTTTGGGGTGGCACAATGGCATACTGCCATGTTACCCCCTTTCATTTGCTTCTATAGTTTTCAACGGGCATTTCTGTAAATTACTGTATATCATTAATTATTTCATTGCCAATCGTAGTGAAATAAGAGTTGTCATGAGTTTTATTCCGTTTAGTTCGCTGATTCGAGTTTTTAATTCGAGTTGAGATGTGACTTTATGTGAGCTTTTTTACTGTAATAAATAAGTTAGATGTGACTGTTTCTGAGAGCTTTTTACTATAGCAAAACTCGAATTGGTAAAATAAATGGGTTCTAAGTGTAGAGATTTACAATTTGGTTTTCTGTTTTGTAGGTGCACATCCTATGATATGTCAGTGCAGTGGCAGCTGACAAAATAGCAGTGAATATTGATTGGAAAAGTTTTAAGGATATCATTTTAGAAAAATGAAGAGTAATTGAAAGGGAGATCCATCGAAGTGAAATAATATATCGTTTTCAAATATTCTCAACTTTTATTGAAATTTCATCGGCTGTATCAATATTTTGATAAAAATTACGGCTGTCCTGCTGTTTTTTGTAGGCTTTGCATCTTCTTTCCATAAATATTCAACACATTATCTTTCTTGTCATGAAAATTTTGGAAGAGTTTATGTTCGTTTTCAATGAGCGTCTTTAGCTTCGTTGGCTGCTGTTTCATGTGCTAAGTGCCAACACTTGGATACTACGTTCCATAGTTGTATTAAGTTTTTATTTTGGGTTACTTCTACAAATGATCCATGAGGTATACCTTCAATTTCTTGTTGGTTCTTGACTTTTAAAACGTCTCATAATTAGTTTTTGAGATTTTACTTTGTTTTAATTTCGGTCATTTCGCTAACTAAGTGTAAAATATTTGACGAAATATGTGTAAATTAAAGACTAAAATTAGAAAGAGTTAAAATTTAGAGACTATCTTTGTGTATTAATTTTTGTTTTTTGTATTGTTTTAGTTAAATTTTAGATGTTTTTAATTTTAGTCTTTGATTTTTACAGATTTTGTTAAATATCTAACATCTAGCTAACTGAAGGATCGAAATAGATAAAATCTTAAGTTATGTTTAGTTTATGTATTCAGAATTATTTTCGTTTTACGTGTATTTTTTATGAGAGAAAATACTGTAAAGAATCATGAATCATGATTCAAAATCAGGGATGAATATAAAAAATAAACATCCCTTTAAAGATTAACTGTGAGACATTTTTATAATTAGAGACTAAAGTAAAATTGAAGTAAACCTCAAAACTATTTGTGGGATTAACCCTGTTATTTTGGAACATAAAGATGGTGATCATTTGCCAACACGTCTCTTGTCAAATCCGTACATACCTCTAAAGGTGAATGGGTTTGTCTTTGTAATGAAACGTTTTGTTATTATTATTTTTTTTCTGATGGCCCAAAAAATTTTGCCTTTTCTTTTTATTATTGTTGTTATAATAATAATATTATTTATTAGATTTATTTATTTTTTTAGTAATTTGTGGTCTAATTTTACCCATTTTAACATTGTTTTGTATTAAATTTTTGATGCTACTCAAATAAAAATGTTATAAATAATTTGATAAAAATAAAATAAAACAAAAATACACTAAAATTATAATTATTATATTTCTATTATTATAATAATAATAATAATAATTATTATTATTATTATTATTATACTTCTATATGTTTTAAATTGATTTGTGGTCCAATTTTGTCCTTTTAATTTTGTTTTTTTACTAAATTGCTGACACTACTGAGATAACATGAAATAAATAATTCAAATAAGAATCAAATTAAACAAATCACAGTGGAATAAAGTAAAAGTGCACCAAATTTTTAAAAAAAATCAAATTAAACAAAATAAAATAGAAGTAATTTAAATCACAACAAAATAAGTTAAAATTTTTTTTTTTCTATCTTTTGCTTAAGATTTTTTTTTCTGCTTTTATCTTCATTTCTTTTGTGTCTTTTTTCCTCTTTTTTTTTTTTATAAAAAAAAATCAATTTATGTAGCCGTTATTTTAAATGAATCAAGCGCGCTAAAAACTAGTATCTAATACATAAAAGATTTAAAGACTCTTGTAATAGTACACTTTTCTTGGGCTGCCACATGGCGGCTTCTTCTTTTTCTTTAATTCTTTTTCTTTCCCTTTTTTTTAAACTTTTTTATCTTCATTCCTTTTATCTTTCAATTGTTTGTCTTTTTTTTTTTGAATTTTTTTATAGTTTAATTTTTTGTGTGAATTTTTTAAGAATAATATTTGGTCAGTTTACTCCTATAAAGTAATTTGATTTGTACATGTTTCTATTTACTTTTTTTTGTCAATGGTTAAAATAATTTTACTCAAACATGTCCTTATTTTTTCTCTGTAATTCCTATTATATCAAAAATTATCTTACAAAACATTTTCTACGCTGCCATGTGGTAGCTCTTCCCCCCAAACCTTTTTTTCTCTTTTATCTTTTTTCTATTTTTTATTGTTTTAAATGTTTTGTTCTTTTATTGTTTATTTTATGAATGTTTTTCTACAATTTATGTTTTTTTTCCGTGTGTTTTGATATTTTCTAATCTTATTTTTTTTCTTTTGTTTTTTTGTTTCATTTTGTTAAGGACTCTTTTATAGTTTAATCTTTTAATAACTATTTAGACATCCAATCTAACATCTAATATATGTAAAAGCAGCGAAGTTGACTTAAATCCTAAGGAAGCCATGTGTTGTTGGCCTCCTCCTCCTTTTTTTTTTTCCTCTTTTTTAAACTTTTCCTCCTTTTTATTTTACCTTTTTTAGTTTTTCTTCTTTTCTTTTGCCTCTTATCTTTTTAATTTTTCCTAATGTTCTATGATAATATTTATTTTATTCAAAGATTGTCCTTGGCATTTATTTATTGTCATTACATAGCAAATTTTAATAGGAATTTGTCGTCTTTTTAGTGTAATTGGCCATTTAGATTCGTGTACAATCATTTCTATTCTTGGGATATAGACTTTTTCATTAACATTGCTTGAGTTTATGATTTGTCCTTCTATAATTTTATTTCTTAATTGTGTAATAATAATTCTTGTACCATTACATAATCCAATTGATTGATTTAGATTTTGTAATAACATTATAGGTGTTTCTAATTTAAGCTTTAATTCATGTGGTGGTATTCCATTAAAGTTCAGAGTGTGCAAAAATTCTTGAGGATATAAAAGATTAAGTTCGTCTATGTTTTCGTATGAGGATGCAATAGTGTCGTAACTATAATAAGATTTTTCTCTTCCAGGAATTAAGGATAATATGTAATTATTAATTTCATCAGCTGTTTTATTTTTTGGTGTTATGATTGCTCATTTTTTAAGTATTCAATATTGCTAAAGTACATATTTAAATTATCATATATTAAAGTTGGAATTTTTTTCAATTGGATTTGAATCATAATGTAGTATGTATTTTTCTGGTATTTTTACCCATGTAGCGTCATCATTTTCTAAATCTTTTATTCCTTCAGTAGTACCATCTCTAACATTTAATATCCTTTTCAAAAATGTTACAATTTCCTTTTTTTCTTGTTCTGTACGGTTGTATTGTTTTAATCTCATGTTTTCTGTTAACTTTAAAATTTGAAATATGGCCATAAATAAGAGTTATTTATAGTTGCATTTATTATATCTTCTTTTGTTCCTGTGGGAATAACTGGGAAAATTTGTCGAACTTCACCTCCTAAGACAATTGTCATGCCACCAAATGGTTGTTCAAAGTTATTTCTTAAATCTCGAAGTGTTTTATCTAATGTTTCAAAACAATATTTATTAGTCATAGGTGATCCATCCCATAATATAAGTGATGTTTTATCAATTAATTTTGCCAATTGAGTTCCTTTTTTAATATGACAGGTGGAAAATTTATCTATGGACAATGGTATTCAAAATCTAGAATGTGCAGTTCTTTCCTTAGGCAGTAGTAGTGATGCTATTCTAGAAGATGCAACAGATAAAATAATTTCATTATTTGATCTAATTTTTGTGATTATTGCATTACATAAATATGTTTTTCCAGTTCCGCCATGACCATAGATGAAGAAGAGATTATTTTTTTCCTCATGTAGTGATTGTAAAATTTGTTGATAAATAAATTGTTGTTCATTATTTAAACTATTTACTAATCTCGTATTTTCTTCTTTTAATTTATATATATGGTAATTAAGTTCTTCTCTTAAAAGCCTATTATTTAAATCATCCATTAATGATCTAGTTGGAAGATGTAACAACCCACACCCCCACCTGGTATGATATTGTCCGCTTTAGGCCTGAGCCCGCACGGTTTTGCTTTTGGGCTTCACCCCAAAAGGCCTCATACCATTAGGAGATGGTGTCATTCCTTATAAACCATGACCCATCTTCATCCCCAGGCAATGTGGGACTGCACAACTTACCCTTTCTTGGCCTTGTGCCTCAAGGGATTGATGGTTGTCACAATCACCCCTCCTCATGGGGGCCCAACGTCCTCGTTGGCCACATTTTCGGCTGGGTAGAGTCTCTGATACCATATCTGTCACGACCCCTCACGGACCGTCACAGTTATCTTAACTTTCAAACATTTACCTCTTAAAGAATGCATAAAATCATTAAACTTGAAACACTTTACTTTGAATGACTTAAAGAAAAGCCTAGATTGTTTTTTTAAACATATTATCTTTAAAACTATTGAACTTCCTCAAGGAAAAATAAAATAACCTTCGGTTCAACTTAGTTATTAAAATCTATAAAGTCTAAAATATTCTTCAAATAAAAACCACCATAAACCAAAGTTCCAAAATAATAAAAGTAAAAAGTAAAAACTTTGTTTAACATTAAACACTTTCATCCCATGATCGTTTCTCCCATTTTTCTATCACGCATAGCTCGCATCCGCTCCAATATTCTCCATGGCTACATCTTACCCTTTAGATTGTCTGCAACATGAAATAACTTATATAAGAAAGGGCTTAGTAAGACACTTAATTCTCACAAATTTAAATGAACATTTTTATTCATCAATAATAAACATCATCATAAGAATAATTATTTTTGAACATGTTTAAACTTTAAAATCCATCATATATTGGGCCCGACATTGTACCATCATAGCGCGCTAGCCACGAAAAGCATGGGGTAGCAAATCACATACCAACCGTGGCAATAAGACCGCTCACCGGTCACCATCAAGGGTGTACAATGCCATTTAAAAACATAAAAATACATATATACATTTTTCTTCAAAACATCATCATAAGAGGATTATTAAAAACGTCATAACATCATCGTAAACATCAAAATCATATACTTCTCAATTCTTCAATTCATGTTGCAGGTGAGAGTGTACTTACTTGAGCGCCTTACTTAACCTTTTTAAATTTCACAACGGTGATGCGACGAATGAGGTCCTCGGGTGCTTGCCTCTAGAACCGTTCATGCCATAAATCATAAATAAGATTATTAAAATACCTTAACAACTCATCAAATACATTGATCACGTTAAAACAGTGTTTAATATACCATTCTCACCATTCATTAATATCAAGACATCAAAAA